ATTTTATATGTCATTTCTTTTTATAAATATATTGGTTATTCCCTCTTCTTATTGGAACACATGTTGACTTGTGGTGGTTGGTTATTCCCTCTTCTTATATAGTAATATATATGATATTTAATAAAACTATTTTTTACATTATATCTCGTATAAAACATAATGACATAGATTTAGCATAAAGAAATACTCCCTCCGTCCACTTTTAATTGTCATGGTTTATTTTTTTAGAGTCAAACTATAAGAACTTCGACTAATATTTTACGATGTATTTTTTTATCATATTGATTTGCAAGAAATTGCAATTTATAGTACTTTTCATATAGTTTTTGAATATCAATTTTTTTTGTTTAAAATATCGAATTAATGTAATCTAACTTAACTTTGAAAATTAGTAAATTTGACTTTCGAAAAGTGCAACATGACAATTAAAAGTGGACGGAAGGAATAAGTGTATTATTAAATAGGTATAATATATAAATGTGTCTAAAAACTTGGCCTGTTTATGTCTCTCAACTTTTGGTGTACACAAGTAGTGGATTCGAAGGCTAGCCATAAATTGCCAGAACTCATAATCTTCAAATATTGGATACGTGTTTGCTGTGAACTATTACGTCATTGATAAATAATGTTGACAGCAGAAATGATGGTAATCATCTTTAATGTTATTGAGAAAATTTGCAGATCTGTTCTCTTGTTTTTCTAGTATAATATGTAGTAATGATATCATTAACGATTGTGGCGGATAGATAGGGTCCCTCTACCCATAAGCAGAGGTCTCTCGAGAAAAAAAAAAAAAAGTTTTCCCGAAGTTTGAGGTTTCAACATGCTCAAAATTTCTATAACAATATAAATTGTTTTTCCAGTATCAACTATGAAGCTATGTGGCCAGCAGGCCCCCAGGGGCAAACCAATTCCCAAATCTTCACTGTTCCATCATCACTTGCCGACGCCAAAAGCCTTTTATCCTGCAAGGTTTTGACAGAAGAAAGTAAACATATTGCAGAATTTATTTGACCAAAAAAGAATCTTGTTTTTTATTTTGTTAGGGAAATAGAGGAGAAAATCAAAATACGCAAACACATAGGCCTCGAGCAATTTGTTGAAGGAAAAAAATACTTGAATAAAGGGTTGAATTAAGACAGATACCGATCAAACTAAAGGTAGTAAGCATAATAGAGTGAATTCACCCTTCTAGTCTTCGATATAAAACAACACGACTGAATATTTGAGAATAAATCAGAAACAAACATTTCTCCTCCTTGAAAAAACCATACAACAATTATTGCAATGTCTAACATATTTGTTGTCCAAACACCATTTGCCAGCTCTGACACATATATCCTATCACCTATGTTGCTCAAACTCTTCAAAATTTCACAAGGTGTGTGTCAGATTGTCCAAAAACTATACATTTCTAGAGGGTGCTACACAGGTGAGGCAATATTTTTGGATGGTCCAAGCAACATCGCTTATTACATATCTGTCAACAGAAATTGAGGTCAACAAATGTTCATTTCAAGGTCCAACGCTAAGAACCTTAAAGGTTGAACACATAAAACTTAAATCCTTAATTCGCCTCTGATCAGTAATGCTCTCAGAAGTTTACAGATGATCTCATCTTCTGCTCAAAGCTTAAAGCATCTTTGCAGCATACTAATTGCTGAGTTGAAGGCAATGACAGATGAACAAGTAAATGTAAAAATCCTATCACTGTGGTATTCCGGTGACTTACCCCAGAGTGCCATTTCACAGAATTTACGTTTGTTTCATGAGCCTTCTCCTTCTTCAGAAGTAGTTTAAATGTAAGCCCATCAACCTGTCATCAGACCAGTGTTATCGAAAGCAAAAAAACGCAAAAAAGCTCTAAGTTCCGTTACGTCTTTAAGCGAAAAGTGCAAACAAAGCATGGACTTCAATGAAAAAAGGCTCAAAGGGAGAAAAAAATATATATGTTTAGTCCAAGACTAACAATTATAAGCATGAATGTCAAATATATGAATAAAGAAATTGAAATAAAAATTACGATGAAGTGAAATATCAATTATTTAGTGGTGCCTCTTTAGAAGAGGCTTGTTGACCAGGAAAAGTATGTCTTAGAACCCTGATGACGAGACATTTAAGTTGAGAGAGATTTGGCGAGAAGAACAAAATCAGAATACAAGAACTGTCCTTACGCCAGGGGAGGATGCTGCTTTAAGTTACCGGGTTCATTTGAATCAAGTACTTCTGAAGTGGAGCATAAATTTATGTGTAAATGCCCATAAAAATTGCAATTACTAGTAGATATGAACCCATAAATTTAAAACATAATGGGTTCATTGCTGAGAACGTTAAAGGTTGAAACCATAGAGCTTAAATCGTAAATTGGTCTCTGTCCTAAGCAGTTAATTCTGATATTACTGTAATCTAATCTTCTCTTTCTTTTTTCTATTTTTTTTTTTAAAATAGTGAACACTGGGGCAAGTTTGTGTGTATCTCAACTAATCCACGGGCACAGCATGTCTAGCATGCAAGACAGGCAGCATTCTGCATGTCAAGGCTGGAGACGACGGGCCCACACCTAGTGGCATAGAAGAACACCCCAGCTTCCTCCAGATCCCTCAAGAAATTTGGGTTAATAGGAAGAGGGTTCTGGAGTACGGAGCTCAAAACTTGATTGAAAGATCCATATATTGAAGAAGCTATATAATCGATTACTAATAGTACTAGTTTTAAAGGCGTGTTGGAATTGATCCACTAGAGGATTAACATTATACACATCATAATAAGCACGAAGTACAAAACTGTATAAGGAATATAGAAGGTTTTCCAATACCTCATTGTCCGTATCCTCGATAAATACACGTATAGCGTCATCAGCTCCTGCACTCGCAAATATTTCTGGGTCCTTGTCTTCATAAGGTACAAAACGGAGTAATTCCCTAACATATTAGAATGTCCAGTGTAAGCCTGTAGGAATAGCTATAACATACCCGATAAAAAAAGATCAAACATGAAATCTAGACAGGCAAACTAGCTATGAAACTCTCGATTCATGGAAAATAGACCGTAAATCTTAAACTGCCTCTCCCCTCCATATACACAGTTTGTTGAAAAGGAAAAACTGTCCAAATAAAGGTAATATTAAGGAGTCCAAACAGAAGGAAAAAAAAGAAGAAGCATATATTAGCTTGAGCATGATAAGAAATAGATATAGAGTAGCTACCTCAACCAGTCAACTGTGAAAATTGTTGTGTCATGATATCCAGATAGAGTGCAAGCATCCGACCTAACAAGCACCAAAAGGAGATGGTAGCAAATCAGCAATTGGAAAACATAGTAATTACAACAACATATAGACTGTAGTCCCACAAAGTGGAGTCTCAGGAGGGTAGAGTGTATGCAAACCTTACCCCTACCTCAAAGATAGAGAGGTTGTTTCCAATTGACTCTCGACTCGGAAAACATAGTTATTGCTGAGTACTATTATACCAAACATAGTTTACTAAATGAATGAAGACCACTCTTTGCCTGAGGAATGACAAAATAAACAAAGCAATAAATGTGGCCTCTTAAGTGAACAAAAGTAATTGTCCATTTGAACGCATCAAGATGATGTTCAAAAGGACTTGCACCCTCCTTTCTTTTGGAAAAAATAAAAATATGTGCATTAAGATACAAAGGCTTCTTATTCCACAACAACGAAAGCACCTTTTCACTCTTTCATATACTAGGGATTTCGGGGCATCCCCGTTGTTGTCACGGAGCATGGGTTGGATGCGCGGGGATAACCCCAAAAAAAACCTTTGCTTGCTTGGAAGAATCTGGAGGCTTACATTGACCAAGGGAATAAACAGAGATGGTTTCTTAAAGCATTCTGCTCGGTAATACCAGTGGTTGCAAACATTTCAGTTTGCTAACTTAATAGAATAATTATGGAGAACAGAAAATTCCCCAGGTTTCAATTTGTGACTTGGATCAGGCCTTGTGCCCCGGGGTGGGGGTGGGATGGAAGAAATCGACCATTTTTCCTTGCGGCCCAGTTCCCATGTGCATGTGTGGCCAATCTACTTTTTTACTCTTTACTAGCCCACAAGAAAGATAATTGTTAATAAAGCAAAAAAAAATAGCTCTTCACAATCAATGAGGGACACTCTCCCATAGGATCACATAAATCAACTTTTAGGATTGCATTATGCTTAGGAAAATGAGGATAAGACCGGGCTTACCAAAGTTCTATAGAATGATCATCATCACAATTTTTCCATATCTTGATGGTAAGGTCATCACTGCAAGTCAATGTAAAATCTGTTTAGTAGTGACTACAGCAACTGTCCTATTTAAGATACACCCTAGACTTGAGAGTGTATATTTTAAAACGAATTCAGCAGAGAGAAAGCCATACCTGCAAGATACCATTCTTCTTCTTTCTTTACTGAAAGAGAGAGACAGCACAGCAGATGTATGTTCTCTGAAAGTTCAACCATGTAGTGGTATAAGCTCCCAAACAATCTTAAACGACGTTACTGATAGCCTTCTTGGCCAAGCTTTCAAAATCAACTTATTTTGAAAAGTGTTTCTTGAAAAATTACTTTCATAGAGTAGAAGTTTGCTTTTGCCTTTAATTATTTATTTTTTATAAAATACTTTTGTCCTACGTTGCTCGGACTCTCCAGAAAATTATAGACCACTTTTCACTATCAATAGGATGAATGAAACACTTCACACAAAAAGTTTTTTCCAAATGAATTCAGACAATCTCTAGAACTAAAATCCGACCTATGACTATTACATGAAGCTTACAAATAGACACACAATGGAAGGTTTTTCAGAATATAAGATACACTTATACACTACCTAGATATAACGAAATGAAAAATATACTGCAAAATAATAATTCTTACCTGTCAGACTCACCCAAAGTGTTTTTTTGAATTACTTTCAAAGAGTAGAAGTTTGGTTTTGCCCTTAATTATTTACTTTTTATAGAACACTTCTGTCATACGTTGCTCGGACTCTCCAGAAAATTATAGACCACTTTTCACTGTCAGTAGGATGAATGAAACACTTCACAAAAAAAATTTCCAAATGAATTCAGACAATCTCTAGAACTACAATCTGACCTATGACTATTATAAGAAGCCTCCAAATAGTCACACAATGGAAGATTTTTCAGTATATAAGATACACTTATACACTATCTAGACATAATAAAATGAAAAATATACCACCAAATAATAACTCTTACCTGTCAGACTCATCCAAAGTTTGAATACAACGCCAATCTAAAATGAAAAATATACCACCAAATAATAACTCTAACCTGTCAGACTCACCCAAAGTTTGAATACAACGCCAATCACCACTTTCATAATCTGCCTCTTTCCACACCTAAAATTTTCAAGCACCACTAGAGATTAGATATTATCACTGGTGAAGGATCAAATCCCACCCCCCTCAAAAGAAGAAGAAGAAGAAGAGGAGGAGAAACGAGTTGACTACCAATTCTATGCCTTACATGAAATGTGGGTATGAAAAGCATGCTAGAATCCTAAGCAAATAACACATGCACACATACAGAGAATGTGAAGTTGAACCTCTCAAATATATATACCTTAATGGTGTTATCACTACTACCGGAGAATAAAAATCTTTCATCCCAATGAACTATCTTAACATCTTCTGTGTGTCATTGTAACACTGAAGTACAATCAAACTCATTTCCAGGCAAAACTTCCCATATCCAAATTGACTTATCACCTCCACATGTCGCAAGAAATTGCCCGTCCCTATTCCAGGAAACACTTCTCACTTCATTCTCATGACCCTGGACATTATCCACGTAACGAAAATAAGAAAGTAGACAGGATTTCAGTAGATTTATAACTCATTAAAGAAAATGAAAAAAAAATCCTTAATATACAGGTCCATCCAAATCAATTATAAGCTAAATAAAAACAACTCCGTAGTAACAAGTTCCCCTATTCTTCTGAGTGCTGATAGATCTTTGAAGTTTATATGTAGCAATATTTACAGAGAGTTAATTTCTCTGATAGTCTCACAAAGTCATTGTACCTTTAAAGTGTAGATACGCTCATAGGCATGAACACCGACATTTTTCCAAATGGCAGTGGTGACATCAGAGCAAGCTGCTGCCAACAATTTGCTTCCCCGTGACCAGGCACACGATCTAACAGTACATGATGCCTCCAAAACAGCCTGCAAAATTTCCTTCTAAGAGTTATTACAGCACTTTTTTTATGTATAGGTTCAAATATTCATTGTAGCTATATTTTCTTGAGCATGGAAAGAGTGCTAGAGATGGAATAAAGAAATTACATAAAGGAAAAAAAATCTTCAACGGGGTTTACCAAATGCGTAGACAAGCTAAAAAGTGCGTATAAGTCAATTTGACTAGCTTATAAGCTGAATCATACACCCTCTAAGTTTACAAGTTTCTACTAGAAAATTGTTGAATGGAACTTGACCCTAACTCTACCCTAAAATCTAGCTCATGAGAGGAGGATTACTCAAGTCAATATAAGCAAATCACTCATCCATTTTCCAATCAATGTGGGACTTTAACCAACTTTAACACCCCTCTTCATACTCAGGTCCAACTGGAGCGTGTACTGGAAGCCCAAACAAGAATGAACCTAGCTCTAATATCATGTTAAATGGACCTTAGCCTGACTCAACCCCAAAAGTTAGCTCTTTGGACAATATTTTTTTACCACAAATGTTTATTAACAGTTTCAGCACTTCTATTTCAAACACGTAACTATTTATTTATAACATCAGATTCAGTACTTTAAAATGTTTTTAAACATTTAAAACCTTATCAGTTATTTACATCAGCTAATCCAAATGATAAAATTGAGAAAATGAAAAAAAAGAATCAAACCTTACACACGAAAAAGCCAGAGAAGTTCTCTTCCCAGATTTGTATGGTTTTATCATCACTCCAGGATGCAATTACTGCCGGAAAACCCCATACTCCGGTATCCACCTTCCAAGCTATCCCCAAGCTAAAAATCTTCAACGGGGTTTACCAAATGCGTAGACAAGCTAAAAAGTGCGTATAAGTCAATTTGACTAGCTTATAAGCTGAATCATACACCCTCTAAGTTTACAAGTTTCTACTAGAAAATTGTTGAATGGAACTTGACCCTAACTCTACCCTAAAATCTAGCTCATGAGAGGAGGATTACTCAAGTCAATATAAGCAAATCACTCATCCATTTTCCAATCAATGTGGGACTTTAACCAACTTTAACACCCCTCTTCATACTCAGGTCCAACTGGAGCGTGTACTGGAAGCCCAAACAAGAATGAACCTAGCTCTAATATCATGTTAAATGGACCTTAGCCTGACTCAACCCCAAAAGTTAGCTCTTTGGACAATATTTTTTTACCACAAATGTTTATTAACAGTTTCAGCACTTCTATTTCAAACACGTAACTATTTATTTATAACATCAGATTCAGTACTTTAAAATGTTTTTAAACATTTAAAACCTTATCAGTTATTTACATCAGCTAATCCAAATGATAAAATTGAGAAAATGAAAAAAAAGAATCAAACCTTACACACGAAAAAGCCAGAGAAGTTCTCTTCCCAGATTTGTATGGTTTTATCATCACTCCAGGATGCAATTACTGCCGGAAAACCCCATACTCCGGTATCCACCTTCCAAGCTATCCCCAAGCTAAAAATCTTCAACGGGGTTTACCAAATGCGTAGACAAGCTAAAAAGTGCGTATAAGTCAATTTGACTAGCTTATAAGCTGAATCATACACCCTCTAAGTTTACAAGTTTCTACTAGAAAATTGTTGAATGGAACTTGACCCTAACTCTACCCTAAAATCTAGCTCATGAGAGGAGGATTACTCAAGTCAATATAAGCAAATCACTCATCCATTTTCCAATCAATGTGGGACTTTAACCAACTTTAACACCCCTCTTCATACTCAGGTCCAACTGGAGCGTGTACTGGAAGCCCAAACAAGAATGAACCTAGCTCTAATATCATGTTAAATGGACCTTAGCCTGACTCAACCCCAAAAGTTAGCTCTTTGGACAATATTTTTTTACCACAAATGTTTATTAACAGTTTCAGCACTTCTATTTCAAACACGTAACTATTTATTTATAACATCAGATTCAGTACTTTAAAATGTTTTTAAACATTTAAAACCTTATCAGTTATTTACATCAGCTAATCCAAATGATAAAATTGAGAAAATGAAAAAAAAGAATCAAACCTTACACACGAAAAAGCCAGAGAAGTTCTCTTCCCAGATTCGTATGGTTTTATCATCACTCCAGGATGCGATTACTGCCGGAAAACCCCATACTCCGGTATCCTCCTTCCAAGCTATCCCCAAAACCTTACCGGTATGACTTTCGAGCTTTTGAATCTCTCTCAGTTCAAAATCGTCGTAGCTGAAATTCTTCATCGCGGCGGAATTGGGGCGGCGAACTGACTGTGCTACTCAATAAATTGGGCAATTTTGATCAGATTTTGGTGATGTTTGGTGGATTTGTACAGTGAGCTGAGAAAGGAGTACTTATTCGTTACTTAAGTGGGCCTATTTCCCAAGTTAGTTAGTTTATGAACCGACAGTTACGCCCCTATAGTTTTTTCTTTATTATGATAATATATAACATATTAAATTATATATTGTAATATTAAGATAACGTGTGTGTCTACTTGTTTACATTCGCTCAAATCTGACATCGTTGATAAGCACACTTTTATTTCACATTATATCTCGTATAATAATAATGACATAGATTCAGCATAAAAAAATACATGTGTTATTTTAATAGGCATAATAATACATAAACGTGTCATGCGTCATCCAACTTTGGACATACATAAATAGACACTTAAATTTATATAAAGTTAAACAAGTATACATATACAAATCAAAATTTCCTACATGGCAATTCGCGTGAAATTCACATAAAACATCACATATGACATATGTGTCTATTTATGCACAATCAAAATTTAAAAACAAATACGTTTGTTAATGCCAAGCTAAACAACAAATTTATATATGATTATATTATGCCTATTTAATATTGTCAAACAAACTTCCATAAAGTCATATGAGTGATTTAATACTAGAATAAGAAATTAAAAAAAAAAACTAGAACTATTTTTCTAATCCCCGCCAAACTAGTATACAAAATTAAAATTAATTTTCTACCTCTAAGGTGCAAATAGATGCTACTAAAATTGATTATTATTATTTTGTACTTTTGCCACTTGTATTTCTTCCTTCATCTTTAGAATTTCTACTTTTTGGTGCAATTCATTTTGTATTTTATTTTTGAAGGTGAATTTGACGTAACTGCTAAAGTTGTTGACGCATAAAGTTAGATCAAAACTCACAGGCCAAGCTTAGTGAACCGGGGCTGCCCTCTTATTTTGTACTGTATATAATTTTAATTAAGCTCCAAATGCCATCTGCACACCAACTGTTTGTTATAATGCCTAGATGACGAATTTCAAAATAAAATTTTGAGAGAACTTTCAGTATTTCACATCTGTAGCTTCTCAGAATGTTTCATAGGCGAGTTACGTCAGTCTTAAATCTTCGTGGGAATGCGATATTATCCACTGTGAAGGAGCTGGGCAATGTTGGTCCATTGTATTCAACTGTATCAGCCATGGAAGCTCTACCAAGAAAGCTGAAAAAGGCTGGAAAAAAACCATGGGTGACGAGTGTTAATGAGCTTAAGCGGAGAGCAAGATATGACAAGCAAGAGAGAAGGGTGGTACGTGAAGTTGCACTGCGGCCACCGGAAAATGGGCTATTAGTTGAAAAGCTAATCCCTGTTGCTCATCATGTGTTAGCTTCAAGAGCTCAGTTGTTAGCTTGTGTTTCGAGGATTTCGGAGGAAATTCCTATTTATTTTTGCAGGTAAGATTCATTTTGCATCCAAAAGTTGCTCGGACTCTTCAAAATTGTTGTCGTATCGGTGTTGGAACTTTTAAATAGACACTACTTTTTGGAGGATCCAACACACACCCGTTAACAATTTTGAAGAGTTGAGCAACATAGCAATCTTGCATTTAAGCAAACTTTGTTGCAACTAATCAATCATATGTAAAAGAGTAAATGGTCAAAAACACACCTAAATTATCACTTTTTTGCTAGTTTCACACTCCAATTATAATTTTCTTACCATGTTCCCTTTCCTATTTGAACTATCACAATATGTATATTAAAACACACCTTGAAGTTGGCTTGGCCAACTATCAGTTGTTCCCTTTTCCTATTTGAACTTTCATCATATACTCAACTAGGTGTGTTTCAACATATAGATTGTCATAGTTCAGGTAGGAAAGGGGAGTATCTAATAGTTGGGATGTGAAACTATCGGGAAAATGATAGTTCAGTGTATTTTGACCATTACTCTGTATAATGGAACTAGGTTTTAGTAGAACAGAAGCATGGAGAAAATATGGCGAATTTTTGCTGCTAAGGTTATGTGGCGGAGCATAACTTTTGTGGAGTAATGCCGGTTTGAAGTCCCAATAAAGGAGTAGGGCAGTGGTAATTGAGGATTAGCTTAATAATAGTCGAATATGATATTCATTTTACTTATTCTTATGCAGACTTAGCTAAGATCATAACACGATAGAAGTAATGATCCTTGTAGGTGGTATCAACTAATTCAGATTAAACTTGTTATCAAGGTAAGAAATTAGTGCAAGATTAAGAACCCAATTTTGCTATAGAAGGCAAATTATTTAGTAGGGAGTAGAACAATAGTTTGTTGAAGCTGGAAAAAAAAATATGTGAAGTTGAAGTTAGAATATTTGTGTTTTTACATGAATTTAACTTGGAAAAATTGTTGAAGTATAGTGAGTAAAATCGATTAATTGTTATACTTCTATAGTTCTATAACAAGTTTTCAACTTCAAATTCTCTATTTCAAGTTGAAGTTTGAAATAATGAATCAAATTGTAAGTAAACATTGATTTGCAAATAATATATCAAGTTAAGTTGGAATAATGAAATAATTAGTGGGGACAAATGTAAGTATTGGAATGAATTAGACTTGACTAGAACACAACAGATGAAGATTCATATAGCTGACTCCTGCTGATTAGGAGTCCAGGCCTTGTTAATTGATGGAAGATTGACTATATAGCAACTCATTATGAAATTCAACTGTTAAAATTGTCGAGCAAGCAGGTCTATGTTGTGATCTCTGCTCTTTTGTGCAGCTTATGTACCGAAGTTCATGTTGGTCATCCACCACATAAGATTAGAACTTGCAATGTTAGCGGCAGTCAGAAGAACAAAGAGCATACATGGCAAAGAGGGGGCGTAGATCATGTATTACCTGTTGTACAATCTTTTCATCTCTATGACAGGTTAGGAAGAGCTGTTTCACATAATGAGCGACTTGAAGTTGATCGAATCCCAGCCCTTGTAGAATTATGCATTCAGGCTGGTGTGGACTTACCTGAGTACCCAACCCGAAGAAGGAAGTTCCCCATTTACCGGGTTGCTGGAAAACTCATAGATTTTGAGAAGAGGTTTCCCAAGGATGATTTGTTCGGGAAGGACATAGAAACTTTTAGGTCTAAGGAAACTATTAAGAAGCCCATCGGAGATGGAAATTCTTTGAATTTACCCTATGATGACATAAAAGGTTTGTCTTTATGTTACTACAATGTTTTCACTTATAATTGTTAGTCATTTTTCAATGTGCATTTTCCTATTCAAATACATTCCTCTCCAGAGCTTCAAGCTATGTTGCTTGGAGTTTCCAAAATTGTTGCCGCACTTGTGTCGGGCTCTCCAAAATGCACTACTTTTAGAGTATGCAACACGACCTATCGACATTTTTGAAGAGTCTAAGCATCATGACTTAAAAGTATGTAAAAAAGAATTATTTCTTATGGTACGACAAACCTTCTTGTTTGATTTTCCACTACTTACTTATC